ATGCAACGATTTGTCCATGCAACGACTTGTCCGTAACGATTTGTCTGCGACATTATGTCCGCGACATTTTGTCCGCGACGTTTTGTCCTGCAACGATTTGTCCTGCAACGATTTGTCCATGCGACGATTTGTCCGCGACGATTTGTCTTGCGACAATCTGTCCTAGCGCCAAAATCAGATAGGACTAACGATGATATTTTTTTTCTCTTCTTTTGTTCTTTTATTTTTTTTCTCCAATCAATAAAATATGTCTATGCTTATATATGTATGATTTTGATTTAAGGAAGGTTTTGTCTATTAGTCAAGCATTCGCCAGTAGACCATTTAGCTTTACAAGTTTTCTGTTCACCGGTAGCAACTAAAATAGGGACACACTGAAATAAGGAAACATTTATAAATTGATTCTTCTAAATTCATGATAAATGTTGATTGAGAAATGCTAAGAGTATATTTCAGAGAAACTATCCGATTTCGATCAGTAAAACTTTATTGACTATGACGAGTAAGATTTAACTTCGTGTCCAAAATTTGTAGACCCGATAGTCTTTATAGAAGAATGTCAATTGAAAAAAATTTTCGATAAATAAAAAATGAATTGATTCCAAAAAGATTTGATCAAACTTCACAAAAAATCGAATCATCTTATGAAAATAGTTTCCTATTCACGAAAAATATTAAAATTTTATGAGATTTCATTTCGTAAATTTACTCAAGCATTTTATTTTAAATAAATAAAACAAGTAACGCTCGTCGCTTAGACTCGCTTGACCCTCGACTGTATGTTGTGCTCCTCCGATATGATTTACTGCTTTCCAAGCTTCAACAACGCTACTCTCCAGTATTTGCAAAAGAATGGATATGATTTTAGACCCTGACATAAAAACTGATGCTAGATTACTGCATCTTATTCATATTTTCATGCTTCTTTCTGAACTGAATTCATCTGATAACACTGTGACTTAAGAACCAACATGTCGCTTAAATTGGTGCAATGTATATAATATCATGCTAATACTAATCGTACAGTGCATACAAGCAGGGCTACCAATAGCATATGCAGAGAAATAGTAATATTATGCGGCTTAAATCCCTCCCCGCCTTTCAAGAATGATACCACTTAAGATGTTTCGATCATCCTGAAATTTTCAGACATGCGTGACCGCATTAAGAAACACCCGCAGTACAACTTTCATCGTTATTTATCAAAGTAGACATGATCTACAGTTAATACATAGTTGGATTCTACTATTTCAGAGAATCATTGTAGCTTCGCCATGAGAGAAGACGTAGAATCCACGACCGCTTAAAAAAGCAGTTAGCGATATCACCAAAGTTTTTATCAAACAGAGCTCTGAACTCCGTTTCCGTTCAATATTTATGGCCATTTTACTGTGCATCACAAGAGAAATGACATATAACTTGTCACTTTACAACGCCACATCCAGCATTTTTCAACTTAGGAATGAATCATAGAAAATCTGTTTGGTGAATAGTTAGCTATGAATTAAAACTTTAAAGCAAAATAAAATAAGTCGTACCGAACCTGTGGAGAAAGATTTCAATTTTCGTGATCGAAATTCCTATTTGAGCAAGCTGCGAAATCAGTAAATGATGAACATACAAATCCGACAGTAGTATGAAAACACTCTTTCTCAAGACTGCAAAAAGCTACATATTCTTGAAAATGATGACTCTTCTGAGTGCTTCGAGGGATCTAAACCTTCCATTGAGTTGATGACATCGAAAACAACCAGGGTATGATTGCCATTGAATGCAGTTCCTCGATCAGCGACCCCCAGAAGTAATTTATCCTGGAGTTCATTTTAACACTCGAATTCGATGATACTTTTGAGCAATTTTGAAACCACTTATATCTAGATACTCGAGGTATATTTATGCATGTCTACTGCTTCTGGCCGTTTCCTCAATCAGTAAAGCAGCAGCTAGTCGTTCGCCGGTGCCCCTACAGAACGCCACTCACGCCTAGCAGCTGCTGCTCTTTCTAACCCCTCATGCCACAAAGTACTCATATTTCAGATTTTCCAGCCCATTGCAGTTTTGTTAAACTCAGAAAAACAGTCGACTCTTCAGGTACGAACTCTTCACTGAAACTGATAATTACTTATCCATTAAATATATTTCTAACAAAGAGTGCTCCATAACCATTTCTGAGAACCTGCATTGAAACAAAAATCACCACTCTCAACATCAGGTATGATCATAAATAAAACCAACTCTCATTTCAATATCGAACACTCTCACATGAAATAGATCTGAAATATTCCCATTAAAAACTAGTCGACCACCAGCGTATCTTAAAAAGATGCTAAGCGTACGCTTTTGTTAGCGCTCTCGTTCACGAAGAGCGATGGACACTTTAAACGTATGTATTTTACTATCTCTCTGTTTATTTTTTTAGAAAACAAAAGTTTATATACGCATACGAAAATAGAGGGAAACAGAGAGAGAGAAAGGAAGAGAAAAAAGAAAAGTGAATAGATAGAATTGAGATATACGTTACAATAGAACACACCGTAACAACTTTATCCCTGAACAAAATTCAGTTGATTACTGAATGATTCTTCACAATCTCAAAGACACTGTTTTTCCAGAAAAATCAAAGACTAAACTCCCATAGCCAAAATAAAGTACCACTTCTGAAACCTCGATTCTCTATCGTCAAACTGAATACAATCTAAATATCTTCCACGACATACCTCGTCTGTAGAAAATTCGTTCCAAGATTTTAAACATGTGCCTTCAGATTCGGATTCCCCGAACCCAAAACCTATAGTAAAGTTTCATAAAAAAAACTGAGAAGCTTAGAAATAACGTGAAGAATAACCGATGTTTTTTTGATCTGTCACAAACATACAAACGCATTTTTTTTCATATGACCCTCCCTATAGTCGAGGGAATTATCGATCATATGAAATTATAATTAAGAAAAAAAAAGAAAAAGAAGCACACCAAGATGGAACACAGAAATAAATGATACAAACTATGAAAATGAGTTTACTGTTTAATTCTATGCTAATGTTTTATGTATATATTCGTACTATTTTGATAATCCCGATTAGAATATCATTTATCTTTATGGAGTCGCAATTCTAACAAGTTTAATAATAGAAATGGTGAAGTTACCTTTTACTTCTTATCTCTACTAGCATGATCATGCAAAGGTGAATCTACTTTCATTTTCAGAGTTTTAATGCAATAAAAAGACAACAATGTGCATACAATACATTTGGTATTTATTTATATGAGTTGTACAGGATTAGTCTATTTCAATATACTCTACCATGATAATTGTTTACTTTATTTGATAATCAAATTAAAATTAATTCAATGTTTTTAATTGAACATATAATATAATTTAAAGAACGGGGAGGTTTTGTTTTCCGTCATGTTGAAGATCGCAAAATATTTATTATATAGACTCAATATGAATTAAATTAATATACAGTAGAAACGAAGATTTGAAAAACTTAAATAATAACTGTAGTTTTTTTCTTGGATGAGATAACGCAAATTTCTGACAAAAAAAGCAGAAGCAATATTAACAAAACAAAATACAGAAAATTTACTTGATTTAAAAGTTTAAATCCCTTAAAACAATACTATTTCTACTATGTTCCGAGGTTTTATTATTATTAAAGACCGCTTTTTACTACTGAAATAAATAGAATATATTCTCGAAACTTTCTAAAACATAATATCAAATATAGGAAAAGTCACTACTGCATAGAATCAACGGACCTTTCATCAAAATAGTAGAAGACATGTGAACTTCATCTAGAGTATTCTATGAAGCGTGCGTTCACTAATTTATTAATCAGAAACTCGATTTTAATTTATGTAAATAAATTAATAATAACAGTTATAAGAATAGAAAACTCAGTAAGTAACGAATTGTGTACATGTTTGACATCTTCATAGTATTCCACTATATGAATGCGACAATAATTTGAATGAGAATTCATAATTTTATTCGTAGATCAGTTTAAATAAATGTTATAATATAAACATATTAAAAACCTTTTCAATCACTACGAATAGAGAAATGGAAGATCTTCGTTATAATTCTTCTACTACTATGTTTCTATTTAATATTGGTACTGGAATTGTTGAACCAAGCAGAAAGTTGAATCATTTTGTTGGTCATTAGAAATGTTTATTTTTTAAATTCGAACACAAACATCATCTCTGCTATTAGCAGATCAATACTATCTTATTGAATTTGATCAAAATAGTTCTCTGCATGATGCACACCATATGCACAAACAAGCGATTAAGCTGCTAGGTAACTATATGAAGAACTCAATTATTATAATTACTAAAATAACTCGGATTTTTTCGTTGATATATCAATATCTTTAATTTCATTGTAAATCGGATATCATAATTATTTTTATAAAGAAAACAAACAAAATAGTATCCACATAGTTTGGCATTTAGCGAGTGCCTTTTAATCGTTGATTCCCTATTAGGTTTCTTATCACATAAATAATAGTCTCTCGCACTAAATATGATTGATGTAAAACAAAATCGATTAGGTAAACATTTTACACAAGAGTAAAATTTTGAAAAAGATAAAGACATCAGTTTTTCTTGATTCTTGCTGATATTTTATCAACTGAGTAGGGTTTCAAAAATGTTGCTAAATAGACATTGGTGTGTGTTTTCTAAGGTGCCCATTTAGAGTTCTTTTACTGGTAACAGTCTGTCTCCAATATATCAATATTATAAAAACATCCATGTACTCTACTACAGTATAACTGTAACATTGTAGTAAAATATGATGATGAGTTCTAATATAGATGACAGATGCATTGGCTATCGAAAACATGATCACCAAAGAAGTATATCTTAGCATTTTTTGCAAACAAGAATTCGTAGGTAAGACATGGAGCAAATGCAATGGTTTACTTGGAAATTATCCAAATTTGCCGTCCAATATATTTATGAGTAGTTTTCAAATCATAAAATATTTTTATTTAATATCAAACTTTTGTCACTATTGAAGAACTATAAGACTATTATTCGAACGAATAGATATTTTTCTAAAATTTAAAGATATTGTTAATTTGTAAAAGCTATGTTTTTTCTTAATTTGAGTTAAAAGTTGATTTCAGTATTCATGAAGTTTTTAGAAGTAACCCGTAGGGTCTGATTGCTTTCTCATCGAATACTCGCCATGCCATTCCAACGTCAACAGGAGTCTGGTGCTGCGTAAACTTTTCTGGTTGAACTCGACATTGAAACACAATTTTGTAGTTCTTGCTTGCGTCCTTAGAATCCTTTATGGTAAAAGGCCGAGAGTAAATCGAAGCTCCTCCTTCACAATGTGTTGCCACATATAATCCTTTCACATCTGGAACCGACTGATTTTGGCATTTTGCTTCATCTTTCATTAAATCCCTACTGGTGAAATCTTGCAAAAATCCATCATTTTTAATACCTTTCACAGCATTTGACTGTGTTCCATGGTAAGCAACAGCCCATTCACCAGGACCATTATTCATACCCAGCCAAGCTTGATCTTCAAAATATTTATCATCTACTTTGAGGGCATGACGATACCATCCTTGTGGAAAATAATACGGAAAACCACCTCGTATTTCTGTATTCGCATTTGGATAGTCGCGATTATATCGGGGATCAAAATCTGACATTTGCAATTGTAAAAATGCGATGACTGTTTCAAACTTATAATCATAGTCATATGGGATCAGCTTTTGAAAAGTATATGGAACAGAATCTTGAACAATATCTGGACGTTTTCCTTTGGAAATATTACGTAAACTCTCTTTGACTATTTCAGCTACCTTTTTTGTTTGATAAATCTCAGGTGTCGTGATGCCAACCTCAACATGAATTGATGACGTTGATTTCACAGAAAAAACTCGAATAAAATCTTTATCGCATCTTGCAATAGCACTGGTGTCATTAATCATTTTTAAGACAAAGTTTTCTAATGTTCCAGGAGACCGTATTATGTCATTATAATTAAGATTTAAATGAAGATTGAATTTTGCAGTTTGAAAGTTTCTTTCGGTAGCAAGAAACGAATGAATACTTCCTAGATTTGCTATTCCACATGCTGTTCGATAATTGCTATCTTTATATTGGAAATTTGCATCAGTAAAAGTCAGACGAGCACCAAATTGATTTGCAAGTTCGTTCAGAACTACTACAAGTGTCTCTGTATTATTGACAGCGGAGGAAAAGGGTTCGGCAACAAAATCAATATTGTCTGTCTTCTTGACCATGGAACGATAGACTGAAAGACATTCGTATGTACGAATATCTTTAGGAGAATTTTCTTTGTAACTTGCAGGAAAACGAATTTTTTCCTTAGGTACCGGTTTCATTTGTTTGAACCATTCAGGTGTTACATCTACAGTAGCGTTTTCAGCAGTAATTTGATTAGGTGTAACAATCGGTACAGGTTTGCTGATAATCTTTTCTATAAGAGTTGGTGGTGGTAACTCTAAATTTAAATCATTTTTTATAGATTATTGAAATATTCTGTGTGAAAAAATTTCAAAGGAAATGAAATGCATAAGTCTTGTAGTTTATGATTCTCAAAATTCTGTGAATATGCTCCCAGTATAATGAAAGGTGGTAGTTGACACAATTTTAAATAAGTATGAATAGATGGTGAAACACAAATCTTCACTTCCATTACAATATAATCTAGTATACAGATACGCAGAATAGCTTTAAAATAAGTAACTCTACAGCATTTCTCAATACATACGGTCGTATCTTCAATCATTCAACAAGATATCGTAGTGGTGTCTATTCGCACTAGAGTTAATGTTAACTTGCTGATTGAAAACTGAATACCCATTAAGATTTTAATGGCTCGAATGAACTTTTCAACTATATCATGGAATAAAAAAAAATGTTCACATTCGATTTGTACTCCTGTGAGATTGTTAGGACACTAATTAATTCGACTTCTAATTGAACATGTTGCCAGGATTTTTCAAGACTAGCTACTAGAGTCTACCTTAAATTTAACAAACATCGTGAATTTTCTTTTTCTCTTAAAATATAAAAAGTTTATAAGCAGTCTTTATCAAGCTCACATTTTGTAGGATTCAAAATATTTTCAAGAATCTACATGACTTTTGCAAGATTACAAAACTGGAAAGTATCCAGAAGGATTTTGAAAATCATTTTCTATGAAGATGTTGAGCATCTGATTTTCAGCGAAAGAATGATCAGATATTAGAATCATGTGAAAAAGTTAACAGATGACTTTTCGTACAAAATCTAACAGGATATACACTAACCAACAATGGCACTAGCATCACTTTCATCTGTATCACCCGCCAAAGTGATTCCTTGTATCTTAAATTGATATTTTCCATTTCCAAGATTTGAAATATTCACAGATAATCTGCTATCCACAGTTGTCAATAGTAATTCCCACTTATTATGAGAGATAGTTTTACGATAAATCTTATACTGTTGAATGCTTCGACTTCCATTGGTAGGTTTCGACCAGTCAAGTGTTAAATTATGCTCTGAAACATTTGTTACGAATGGTTTGCCAGGTTTACTTGGCATTTCGAAATCTGTAGGAACACCATTTTGATAAAGAATATATGATAGTCCTTGATTCATTTGAAATTCATCAGTGTATTCTTCATCAATGATAAATTGAATATTAGATTTAGAATGATTGTGTTGAGCGAAGTTGACAAATAAGGAAACTTGTTGTTTCATTGATGCAATATTTTCTTTATTAAACCAATTTTCTTTTTTTGTACCTTGATAAGTGAATTGGCTTTTCTTGTGATTAAAATATTGAAATATTTCATTTAAAAATGAATCATTTTTTTCGGTAATATGAATAATTAAACGCAGAATAAATTTATTTTTAAAATTCTTTTGAAATTCAGCGAATGAACATGTTAATCGATGAATATTTTCTTGTGTTCGTATTTGATTTAGAATCATTTCAAATAATTCGATTTTCTTTTTGTTTAATTCAATCCAATCATCTAATCTTCGTTTATCGGATGAAAACAAATTGAGGGTTCCCAATCGATCTTGAAGAGTATTTTCTTCAATAGAACCAGCACGAATTTTTGGTAATAACTCCACGAATTGATTTCTCAAAAGAACTTCAATTTCTGATATTCGACTCAAATGTGTTAGAAATTGTTGTTTAGTTCGATGGAACATTTGAATAGACGATAAATTTTGAAACAAATCATTTGTAATTATTTCTAATTTATATAAATATTCAAAAGTTTCTATGGAATCAACAAGAATATTGTCACTAATTTGATTGAAATTTTTGGTTACGAAACGAAATTCATCTAATAAATAAAGTGGACAGATCCATATTTGTTTTGGTATTGCATTATAGTTGTTTTGACGAATCAACATTTTTAATTGTTTATATATTTTTACTGTTTCTTCAAACGTTGTTGGATTGACTTCAATTTGAAAATCACCATAATATTGACATTTTAACGTGCCAGCTAGATTTTTCTCATGATCTTTCCAGTTTAATTCACCATTATCAAGTATTTGAAATTGTTCAAACTTTTTCAAAAGTAATTTTATAGAATTTTCAATATCCGTACGATTTTCATCATTGAATACTGTTCGGTCAAATACGAAGACAATATCACCACCATACAAAATATCAGTAACAACATGAGTAGCAATATTTTTATCCAATACTTCTCGATATTTTCCATAGTTTTTATTTATAAAAGTCATGGTTAACGCACGAAGATCTTTTTCTATTGAATATTTTAAAATAAATCGTAAATTAAAATTTGTTTTCTTTCTATCATCGATTAATTTCGTTGAGCCAGATAATTCAACCAGATTCGCTAAGATACTCAGTTTAAGATTGTTATCTATTCCTAGTAGATCGGCTTTTTCTCTGAATTTATCCGTTATAAAAAGTTCACACTTCTTCAATGATAAATGTTGACAATTAATGTTTTCTGATGAAAGATTTGAATTCCAGAATGATATCTCAGAAATAAACTTATCATTTATAAAGTCATAAAGCATTCCAAGTTCGCATGGCCGATTGAGTGCCATCATTTTTAAAGTTGAATGTTTTTCACTTGACATATTTGACCTTATTAATGAACTTCGTGTACTCATTGTTTCTATAATGCAAATAATTCAATATTTGTGTGTTAATTTATCGTTTTAAGTTTTTCATCAAATTAAAATATATTTATGCAAAGCACGATAACAATATCACAAGTCTTTTTTTAACAAACATAGATAAGAACACTCTTTGTATAGATTAGGCATGAGATGCAATATGGATGTGAACAGTAAACCACAGGAAACATATTTAGTTATTATCTGAATAAATTTTGAAGGTTATATTCTTGGTAGTAGTAAACGAATTTTTTTCAAAGAACAAATACTTTCCTCTTGATTATTTTTCTAAATCGGTAGTTTTAATCAATAATTTCTATTAGTTTTTAAGTCATTTCATGTTGATATGAATTGGAATAGGTTCATGTATATAAAATTTTCTATCTCGATTTATGGACTACAATGAAGTAACAATAATATGATGGAGCATCTATAAACTACTGCATGCTCAATTGGCTGAATATGCTATTCATCGATCATTATGTTCAACGTTCGTTCCAAATACATATAATAAAATAGAAGTGAGCACATATTTAAACATATTTATTGGGAAACATTGAAGTAATATAAGAGAGAGAGAGAGAGGTCACCTTGTTATGATCAGCTAACTTAAATCAAGAGATAACTTCAATTAATATGTACATAAAGTAGTTATACTTATATGAATGTATACGTTAAATGAGTATGATGGGAAAAAAAGAAAATTTATCAAATGTCAGAAATTGATTGAATCATTACTTGAGTAGGACGAGGAACTACTCGCTGTTGATAGATTTTAGATCAAATTTGAATTTCATATGTCGTAAGCAGACGCAAAACGATACTAAGTCCACCATAGACACCCAGCATTGTACTAGCAATGTCGAACAGGTCAGCTCTCCTTGAAACTGCATAAGAAGAGTAAGTAGGCGCACACTGTGAATAATATTTATCATAGGATATCTAAATGATGAAAAAGATTATTAAACATAGTCAACTTTTGTGCAATATAATTTACAACAACTGAATAGTCTTCTATAGATAACTCTCGAAAGAGTTTGACCACTGTAGTATTTGATTAAAATCTAGACGAAATCGATTGATTAATGAATAAATTAACATTGGTATTGTAACAGTACTAAGAATAAATGTACTTTATCATGTTTAAGAAAGTAGCTTTGGTAATCAACAGAATACACCATAATAAAGAGGAAAATATTATGATTTCTCGAAAATCAATATGTATTTTGAATTTCGAGATAGACTATTCTTTTAAATGTCCTATGCATTTTCAATAGAATGACTTTTAGACTCCGTGCAATTTTACAAACGTTTTCTATAAATACAAGATTTTGAATATTTATCTTATATGGCTGGCAAAACTCTGCTCGAAAAGTAGTTTTTTCACATTTCCAACTGATGAATACAATTCATTTGACAAGCTACGTTTTTGCAGTCTAAAACAACAGATTTTCATACATGCGTATCAGTATGATATATCACAATACGTATATTTTTTGATAAATGTTTTGTACAGTCTAGTTATGTCATACAAGAAACAAAATTATATAAATTTAGCAGAATAATCTAATGCACGAATAGAATCAAGAAAACTTATATTAGCCAGACCGAAATCGCCTTGTTTTTTGTGTTCAAGGCCTTCATTGTAAAAACACAGCATACTCTTCGTGCACAAATGCCGCATCAGTTGTCTTTCGGTGTAAACGACTGTTGTTCGGTTCCACCATGGTTCATCCCAACATTTCATTTCATCTCCTATATTAAGAATATACAATGCATCAATCTGTGTTCTTCTTAATATTGGAGCTAATTCAGTTAGTTGTGCAGATGTACAAGCTATGGTGCGTAGAAATGAATTGTATTTTTCCAATTTTTTCTGAAGTTCGCCAACGTTGAAGCAATGATCTACCAAATTCCCTAATTCCTTTGTGGGAAGACCTGGTTGATTCAAAATGAGTATTTTGGCACTTTTGGAGTTCGAAGCCACTGAAACAAAGAAAATATTCTTTATATTTACAGCATAAAAGATTGTTAGTAAATAGAAACTTCAATGAACAGACTCAAGAGACAAAACTTATGATCTTAAGTATTTTGTGCACATCGAAAAAATATCATCTATTACTAATACTGAAAAATGCTATCAATCAACATGAAATAATTATAATCTTGTTTTTAGCAGCTAATTTTCTTCAATGAAATAGCACAAATTTTCAAAACATACCGGACATTTTCAATATTATTATTTAGCAATAAAATGTTTCTTTCGATGTGTTTGAGCAAGTAAAAAGTTGCGAATAATAATAGTATGACTAAGAAATGAGTTTTACAACAGATCAAATAAGAAACGTAGTAATTACTCATCAATAACAAAAACAAACATACGTCACCGTTTGCCTCGCAACTATTCTTTGCGCATGTGTTATGCAATTTTTCTTCTCATTCTGACACACAAGTAGTGCACATCAGTGTTTCCAATGGAAATCTAAAACAAAATGAACAGTACACTCTGTTTTTTATGAGTAAAGTGTAATGTACACTTTACTTTTTTCAGCAAAGTGTATCAAAGTGTACAAAAGTCCAATTTTCGCCATTTTTTATCTCATGAAACAAGCATTTTGATCACGAGCGAACAAAAAAATATCATACTTAATTAATTTAAAACTATATACGGTTTTTAAGGTTCAGAGATCAAAGAAATCAGAGTGTAAACTATTTTAGCAAAGTGTACATTGTACGCTTTGTTTTTCTGGGCAAGTATATAGCAGAGTGTAAATCAAAACTAGCAGATGTTCTGTATATTTTGCTACTGCTGTGTACACCTGCCATTGGAAACACTGGTGCACACGCGCTACTATCTTAATAAGACATCTATGCATGTTACTTGACTAGATTGCATTGCTTTAACCTGTTCATGATGTATTTCCAGCTTCATAGATAGCAGAGACCGAAACGAATGGCAAAAATGCCATTCGATTCGATTTCGGTCTCTGATAGATAGTGACTGATTGATGTCGGTGATTTAAATTGTATCACCATAAGGTTCATCAAAGAGAATCCGTACTCCTACAAAGACCATATACTTACTTCACTCAGATGTTATCTTCACTAAAATAAGAAACATAAATTTTTTCTTTTATTTTTTCTTACTTTTTGCTCTTGCCTTACCTACGAATAATCTCTCTCATCAAACAATACAAATGTGTAACATGACGTCCTTCGCAACCAAAATGGCATTAGCGTTATAAATATATTTCAATGACATAAATGTTCTCGTTTTTGCTTTTATTATTCAGAGAATTATAAAGTAAGAGGATGATAATGATTCGACATTGTTTCGCTGCAAAATATTTATATAAGTAAATATTTTTAATAAAAAAATACAGGACACGCATTGTAAGAGAATGAATCATTATTTAAAGGCTCGAAATGATAATATCGATTAGTTGAATTTGGTTTTTATACTGCTCTATTGTGAACATAGGTGATCAGAATCCTGCAGAGAATAAATGATTAAAATTAATATATAGTGATAAATCATGGTTTCAATGAAAAATAGTTGTGCATGAATTTCATTGGACGTATAGTATCTTCTGAAATATATTTATTTTCTTTGGAAAGAAAAAGGTGAGTACAAATATCGAATGTTGTCCAAAATATCTTGCTAAATTATTATTTTTTACAGCACGATATAAAAACTACCAATGATTTAATTGTTTTAGTTAAATTTATTTCAAATTTTGAATACTATTATTCGTTTATTGGCTATTCGAAACAAGATTTCAGTTGGATCAAGTTCATAATTGAATAAGAATATTGAAATAAATGGCTACTATGCTATTAGCAAAAGTCGCAGTTTATTTTCTCATCATTTATTCTCACAATTTAATAATATACATTTTCTTTAATTTTAGTAGTAACAAATTCGTTAATTTATATTTGATAGAAAAATATAAAAATTTTACAGTTTGTAATATTGCTCTCAAATAATGCATAATGAGGAATATGAGATTCAACAGTTATATGCTAAATCTAAGTCCTATAAATATTTCATAGTCCCACTTGAAGAAACAATGTCATAAATAAGTATATTCTGTACATAGCAAACCTTTTTATTTTTTTAATACAATACGCATATAGGTGACATTTTGAAAGATATATGAGATTAAATAAAACCAAGTTTAAATCAAAAATTAGATACATGAGATGTTATGAATAAATCGAATAGCTTCGCCAAAAAATCCATTGTAAAAAAATGGCAATCGGTAAATAACAGAAACATAAATATGAATGACCCTACACCAAAACCAAACGCAAAGAAGTAAAATTTGCTTAATCGAACTCTAAGCATTATGAAAAATTCTCTTACATGAAAACGATTCCATTCATTAAAGCTACTTTGAAAGAATACACATAAATTTACAATTTAATGAATGAAGAGAGTGCCGCATGAAAATTTACATGATCGGAGAAGTCAGTAATGATACTGAATGAATCGAATTTTGTTTAGTTTAACTAAAAATATCCCAGTAAAAACCACTCACTCATAAATAATGAATTAAAGTTCATCTAAACTAACAGTAAACTGAGCACTAATGCATATAATGATTCTTCTATAAATATAGTGTGATAGATCATGAAATGATTTTTATCATTAGTAAAATATTGCAAATACTAATATTGCTTTCATTTTTTGAGCCAGCTTTGCTCGACTATGCTTTGGTTTCATCGTACGTTGTCTCATTTTCTGATTGTTGTGTGTTGTACATGTGGTCACGAATATTATTTAACATGTCAGTTCGCATATCATTAGCTGCCTCGGTTTGATTGTTGTTACAAAAGCCAATGTATTTGTCAGCCATTTCAATCATATCTTGATTTTCAGACATTGAATAAAACTACTAGAATTCGACAGTCAACACGACGATATGTTTCCTAAAATAGATCTTCAATTCAAACAGGGATGAGAAACAACATATTATTCTTTATAGTTATAAGAACAGTCATATTTTTACAATAATGAAGGTAAATATCTTCAAATACTAAAAAACATATTTAATTAGAGGTATCAACCGAAGGGTTGAACGATGGCGGCGAGCAACAATGTTCAATTTTTAAAGATTTTCAGCGGCTCCTTCCCTGAATGAGTAATGTCTTCAGCGGCGGCTGCTATAAATTCTTAAAATTTTTTCCACAGCGGCGGCGCTGGCTGATATTTGCAAGTCCTTATGTGACAGCGGCGACTGAGTTAAAAATTCACTGATGAAAATTAAAAGAAAAATGTTCGATTCGATCGCATATGTATTGATGTCAGCGGCGGCGGATGACGCTATCAAAAATTTGTATCTCTTGCAGTGGCGGCTCCCCAAAAATTCTTAAAATTACCAGCAATTTGGTGGCTACGGTGGCTGATATTATAGAAAAATCGGCTGCTGCGCCGGCTCAGCCGCACGGCTGACACCTCTATATATAAGTGCGTTGTAAAATACTGTTGCATTTATTGTAAAATTCTAGAGAATAGTTTCGTCCGTAAATCCAGTTTATCATTCCACAGATTTTAATCGCTTCTATGCAAGAAAATACGTAAATAAAGAAATATGTCAAATTACAGAAAACAAAAACATATTCTCGTTTATTAGAAGATTTAAATGCGAATAGGATAGATGCTTTTGATTCCGGCAAAGAGCACAAAATGCTCTTACTTTACTATAACAACTAGCTAGAGTATTGAACTATTATACTAAAAGTTTTTGAGACTTTGGCATCAGTCTTTTAATATACACGTTTTTGATCTAAAATATAAGAGTCTGTTCATATTGATGGATAATTAAGATATAAGTAGTCCAAAACTAGTTTTAATTAACTTATTAAATATTAACTTACTCTAAACTAATATAATTTGCTTGTCTATCACAAATATGATTGATTTCGCGGAAAGACACATTCTTATATAGGGTAAATATTTTCGCTGGAACTCGAAATATTGACCTAAAAAAAAGAAAAATCAATAGAACGAACGAAAACAGTCTAGACCTACATTTACTAAAATATTTTCATCGCTGATTACTGCATGCAGCTGATCATCTTGAAATATTTTCATACCGTTACTATTTGCATCGATTTTTCAAAAACCTACTAGTTACAAATTGACAATAATGAGGAATAGAAATGTCGTACTATCTATCACACATAGTTCATTATATTCAATGAAGAAAGTTTCCGGAGGTTATATGTAAAAATTAAAGAATGAACATGACTCGAATCTGTTGTCGTTGAAAAAATTCAATTCTACGCCATATGATTGGTAGTATTAGCCAGATTGTAAATTTTATTTCCTTTTTTCTTTATTTTCTATCTTATTAAAGATAGAATACAATCACTAATTGAGCTTTTCGATGCGTTGGCTATGAAAACTGAGTACAAAATAAAATCGTAGAAGATTTTCATTAATAGTCCGATAAAATAATATTAATTCGAGTGCGTCTACAGTTGTCGACTACGATTAAGGGCAAAAAGATTAGTCTCCTACTATGCTAAAGAACAAGAATATACCCAGATTTTCTTTCATCATTCTTCGATAAAAAATATAGAGCATTAGGCAGCCTGTTGGCATTAAAGACCGTTTGAGCGTGAGAAAACAAATAAACAAAGCTACCTTGGAGTGCTGCACATATACCCACATAAGCAGATTACCATGAAACGAAAAAAACAAAAGATCTAGGCAAATAAATATATATATATATTGATATTTCATTGTTTAACTAGGGTAGCATTTTTCAAAATTTTCTGTTACAATTCATTGCTGAATGAACACTGCTCGGTGAACAAATATATAATGAATAAAAAATATCCTGATTGATATACATTCTGTGTCTCAATTGAAAATTGATTATTTGGTATTTCTTAAAATTAGTGATAACCTGCTTTTTTTCAAATATTATCGATATTGTTTTCATTCTAAATCAAATAGTAATACATTTCGACGACAAAAAACAATGTTGACTAAAAGAATAGCTTATCACGGGTACAGATTGATTATTTTTTTCATCGAAGAATCACGATATTAATAGTATATATGTATTTGTCAATAGAAATATATCATTAAAAGAAACCATTCAGTTAGATGAACGAATGCAAAACGTATATAAAATTATTTCCAGTACTATTCGATCAACAGAATTATTCTAATAAAATGGAATCTTACGAAATACGAATCACTGTAGCTTTAAAG